GGTTCCAGGGTTTCCCTCTGTCATCTGACACGCTCCAAAGCACAGATGCCAGCGGCTGTTTGGTGCAGTTGGTGGAACTGTCTTTCTGAGAGGTATCTGCTGCATGGCCAGCGTTGGGCCACCCAAGTCTGACGTCGGCTCAAGCGGCCAGCACTGATGGTCTGCACAAGTTGCTGTCAGCCAGGTGGGGGATCTGAGGTGACTCCGTGCAAACCCACTGCTTCTTCTAGTGGAAGGACTCACTCGCCTACCTGCCTTTACCCACGAGAGTCTGGATACCATGGGTTCGCACCAAGATGCTCGGGCATAGGAAGTTGAATCAAAAACCTGAAGATGAGCATTTCTGTATTTTCAGGGCCTTGTCCGCAGGCTTGGAGTTGTAACATGGCCGCAAGGTGGCATTAATGCCAAGAGGCCTGGCGCTGGCCTTTAACCCTTGGTCCTGTCAGCCGCTACTTTTATGGCCTTGGGCCACTCATCTGCCCTCTCTGACCCTCTGTAAGAGGAGGGTTCTAGCACTCCCCTTGCAGGAGGGCTGTACTAGGTGCAGGCAGGTGTGTACCCGTACCTCCTGGGTGCTTTCCAGGTGTCTGGGAAGTGACAGGCATGACCATAAAGTCTCCATGTTCTCCAGCAAGGGAGGCCAAGAATCTCTTTGAAGATTTGAACGGTTCTTGACCCAAGAATGATGCTTCCCTATCCGAGAAAGTTATCAGATTGGGGACAAAGAGAAGGGACCCCCTCCCTGCCAGTGGGATCTTCTTGACCAGCTCAGACAGGTGGCAGATGTCACCGCAAAAGCCCCTTCTCTTCCTCAGTGTTCCGAGTCTGCCAGCTCCCAGCGTTCCCCACGGTTGTCCTGACGGTAACCCACAGACCTGCACGTGCCTCTGCTCACCAGGCTCCCGGCGGGGAGCAGTAAGGCGGGTTGCTTGGACAGAGGTTGTCACCGTGGAGCTGCGGGAAATCAGAGCTTCTGCACTGACAGTTCAACGAGGGGTTTAAGTGACACTCGAACAACCTGATCTTAATCACCTCGGAAGCTGCAGCTTTCTGGTTCTGAGGGGGTCATGGCGCAAAATGCCTTCCTCCATCCTCTGCGAGGAAAGAGGGAGCCTCCGAGCTCTCAGAGACGTAGCGTAGCGCAGGGCGAGAGCCCCGTGCATGGGCTTTGGCTCCAGGCAGACCTGGCCTGAAACCCTGGCTGAGTCACTCCTGGTTTGGCTTCAGAATCCCTCTTAACACGTGCGCTGGCTTGCCGCTAGCAGTGGGGCCCGGCTGGCCTGCAAGGTGCAACCAGCTCGCCCTCTCTGGGCGAGACAGCTGCTCAGGAAATTGCCACGTCCAGAACCCCTGGCTCTAGGTTCTCCGTAAGGAGTCACTTCCTGAAGGAAGTGAAGTTCTCAATTACATTTCCCGAGCAGAGTCTGACTTCAGCTTCTTCTGCGACTGGGGCGGTTGTGTCTGCACTCGGAAACCAGCTTGAGAAGAGCAGCAGAAGGATCAGCTGCCACCAAAGGTGTGAGTCGTCGCGATCCCAGCGCTGGTGACAGCGGGGCAGCTGAATGCCCGGCATGGATTATTTCGCGTTTTCCTCACTGGAGGTGAATTTCTCTCCACAATCAATGTGCGATTCTCAGCTCTCTGGAAGAGTTTGGGTCAGGCTCCTTGAGGGCGGGTGTCAGAACAAACCCTCCTCCATCCCCACCCACCCCGCCCTGCGTGGTTTGGCAGTTTTGATGCCCTGGCAGAAGAAGTGTAGCTCTGATGCCGTCCTGGCTGTGCCCAGCACACACCTGGAGCCTAGAGTGCCCCCTGCGTGTGGTGAGCAAGTTCACATGTCCTCATCTCCCTGGGGTCCTCCTGGGGGCTCCCAGCTGTTGCAAAGACTAGGCATCTCATCAGAATCTTGTCTCCTCTCAATCACAGAAGGGGTGCGGACAAGGGGAGGTGGCTCAAGAGGGGTGCAATCTCTAGAGGACTAACCACAATGACCTGCCTGCCACCAACTCCCTCTCTGTCACCCTGGGTTGGGACCTGAAGTCCCAGCCTTCAGGCCTTCCGAGGACTCCTGCCTCAATGCACCTGACCTCACAGAGGAAGACAGTGATTTGGCCACTGCTTATACCCTCCCGTATAAACTCTGACATCCAGCAGGGCACTGGGCAGGGAAGGAAGGGAGGAGGGAAATTCTGAGTACTCCTGTAGCGCAGCTGGAATGGCGATCCCAGGAATCAATGGCAACCAATATAAAAGGTATTAATTACATACATAATTAATACTTTACATATACCTATTGTCAGCCTTGGCAACCTAGTGTGCCTGTGACACCTACAGCACATCTCAATTTGGACAAGCCAAGCTCAAATTCTTCAAAGGGACCTGTAGCCGGAGGCTCCCATGCAGGGCTCTAGATCCGGCTCATGCTGTCCCTTCTGCTGGGACTGTCCCCACGCAGAGCCCAGCCCCCTTCACTCGCTCCTGCCTCAGAACCTAGGACGTGGTGCTCCGTTCAGGTGAGAGGGCCGTATCCACAGGGTCATGCTGCCCTCATGGGGGGTCTCCTGCAGGACCCCACCAGGCCACGCCTCCCCTGCAGGGTCTCCTTCACACTTCGCACAGAGAAGGTGCTGGGAGAAATGTGTGCTGAAATGAAACAAGGGTATTTTGCATATTTTCTGAGATTTGCTTGAGACAGCTCCTTCGTCCATACGGGAAAGTCAAAGCAGGCGCTGAGCGGATGGTGGCAGTGGGGGGCGGGGCGGGGGGCGGTTTCACCAGACCCCTGTTCTGTGTTTATGAGATTTCCTGGCCATAGCTTTTTCTCCTTAATAAGTTGCCATTTGTCCCCATAAAAGATGAACCGTTTTGTGAATGTTTTTTAAAACTCAAAATGCATTAAATCCATTTGGAGAGAACATATTGAGTTGTGAAGCTACCATCAATTTTGCTGAAACATTTTTTTCTGGGCACCATTAGAGGGAACCAAGTTACAATCAGAAAAAAGGAAAAACTGGTTGGAAAATGAGATCAAGCCAGAGAGAAGTCCAATCGTTTCAAGGTGGAATTGATTCCCGATTCCCCTCGGAGGGCTCAGGTTCACCTCATTAGCCCGCAAGTCTGCTTTACTGTGGGATTTAAGAGGAAGGGTGTCTGCGTGCCCTCCCTGCTCGATGCGTCTTTCTTCGCTGGATTTAATCCCGGTTAGTTCACGCACCCGCCAGTCTCGGGCCAGGCACCGTGGGTGATGCTGTAAGTGTAGGAAGGAGGGAGGATGCTGAGCACAGATGTCACCCAGGCCAGGCCTGCGCTACACCCACGTGCCCTGTGCTCAAATCCCTTTAACCCTCACAACAGCCCTAAGAGGCAAGCACTGCTCACTTCTGGTTTACAGATGAGAGGCTGGAGGCTCAGAGAGGGGACATCGCTGGCCCAAGGTCACACAGCAGCCCAGAGCACACCCCCTGGACCTGGGGTCTGAACTCAGGTTGGCCGGTGCTCATAACCAATCTGCTGCCCCACCCTCGGAGAGCAACGGAAACCCACTCTCTTCTGTTCCTGCCTGGGCTTCGTGTCCCATGGAAAACCCAGACCTATGCAAGTTCCAGCGTCCTGGCTGGATGTGGCCGGCCTAGACCAGGGGTGCTCACCCGGGGGTGATTCTGGTCCCCAGGTTGCCAAAGTTTGGCAATGTCTGGAGACATTCCTAATTGTCAAACCCAGGGAGCAGGAGGGAAGAGGTGCTGGGGACGGATAGTAGGCAGATGGCAGTTCTAGAAGGAAGAAGATGGCCCTGCTCTGCCCGGGGCAGAGCCATCCAGAGACCTGCAGACAGGCCTACGTCTCATGTTTAGAGTGAGATGCAGGCCCGCTAGCTTTCCACCCACCCCGGCCCCGAGGGAGAGGTGTGCTGCGGTAAAGACAGTGAAAGGTGCCCTGGGCTTGTGCTGTCTGGAGAAGGGATGGTGGGGGCTGCTGTGGGGGCGCCCAGCTCACTGTCTGCAAATCGGCAGTGCGCCTGGGAGCAGAGGACAGATGTTCTCCTGGGAGGTAGGAAGCGGGACTGGGAACATGGGTGGAGCCCCAGGGAGCCAGGCTTCAGCTCTGTATGAGGAGGGAAGGGAGAGTGGACAGGGAGACATGGACACAGTGGGCTCCTCTTCCCTAAGCGCAACTCTGGGGTCGATAAGGCAGGGCGTCCCTTCCAGGTCCCTGACAACTGAGGATGTTGGGGGATGGGCTGCGTGTGCTCGCTCTCTTTCACACACACACACGCACACACATGCATGCACATGTACACACAAAACCCTGCATAGATTCTCCTTCCCAGGCTCAACATCCACCTCCTAAAAGACTTTCTATCATCACCTTCCCAAACAGTTCAGCCCTTTTGGATACAAATTTGCAGGATTCCTTTCCCCTCCAGTGAGCAAAACTGAGC